TCCGGTTGCTTCTTAGCGCTCGATAATCTGCGGAAGCAGCACAATCCAACAGTGCTTAATAGAGTCTTTTATGTTTGATGTGCGCTGCGTTGCGACCTTGTGAATATACGCGCGCAGAAAATTTTGAAAAAATTGAAAGCGGAATTTCAAGGACATGCTGTATACAGTAAGATTCGACTTGACAATATGAACACGAATCTGCCTTCTGATTTCGAAAATGTTCATTCTAAACAAAGTTACGGCTAGTAGAACTTGGAACAGCTTAATTTTTCCAGAGTTTATCAGCTCTTCTATCGCTTTTAAAAAAGAGTCTTCGGCTGCTGTTTAGCGCACGATAATCTAGTGAAAGAGTACTATCGAACGGTGCCCATGGCAGTCCCCTATGTGTGATGCTTGTTGCGTTACACCCATGCGAAGAGGCGTCGGCATGCAAATTCAAGATTATTGAATATTGGAGACAACCTGTATATAAAAAGATTCGCCTTGACGAGCTGAATACAACGTTGTTTTCGGATTTTGAATATACTCGTTCGGAAAGAAGTTATGGCCCTGCGTAATTTGCGTGATTCACATGAATTTCGCGGAATTCCTGGAAATTTTGCATGTTCTGTGAGTGGTTTTGTACTATAAGAGATAGAGCGATAAAAACTCACACAGCGTTTTCTAAAGTACATTTCTTTATCAAAAATGATCCAATTTTGTGTCGTTAGTGATAAATGATAAAATGATGATATCAATGACAACGACAGATAAGAATGGCTTAAATTCATGCGGTCGATTTCCACGTTCATCTTCCACATAGGTGCAGAATTTCAGCCCAGGCTTCGGCGTGAAGCGAATTGAAGCAAAAATGCCATTCTAGCTAAGAATTGGCAGCAATGGCATGTGCCGATGAAAAATCGATCGATTGCTGCAGCGAGGGATCTACCAATTGCACCGAGCAATAGAACTAGAAAGGCCTGTAGATCAATTACAATGAGAGAAAGAGCGATAGAAATTCACACAGCTTTTCCTACAGTACTTTCCTTACCATATGCAAAAAATGATCGAAAAATGTGATATTATCAGTGGTAAATGATAAAATGCTTATATCAGTGATAAGGGCAAATAAAAACTGCCCAATTTTTCGCGATAGTTTTCGCCGATGAAAACTTCGTGCCAGAACCTGCTATTCGTGATTTACGCTGTGATAAATGTTCACAAAAGCCTTAACATAGAGAACAACAAGGTATCATTGTAAGTCTACCCCCTCACCACAAATTACGGACATACTGTATATCAAACGATTCGTCTCATCAAGCTGAAGCCAAATCTACACGCAGATTGCAAATAAATTGGATTTAAAAGAAGTTATAGCTAAATCCCGCAAGTCCCGCAAATCCCGCGAATCCCGCAAATCCCGTGAAGTCGCGAATCCCGCAAACATCGCGAATCCCGAAAATCCCGCGAATCCCGAAAATCCCGCAATTTTGGACAAATTCCACGGCCACAACTGTAGTCCCCTATCCTGTATCTTATCATTTCTCCCTTATTCGTTTTTCCTTGATCAAAAAACCAATTCCGTTGGCGCGCTTAAAGGCACCGTCCACCCTATGTTAAGAGTGTTGAGCTTTTGGCAGCATATAACAATAGGGCCTCCTATCAAGCCAATGCCCAAGTCGCAGTGCAAATGTCACTTCGGAAGCGAGAAAATCGCTCCGGAATAGCAAAGATGCACGAGGACCCCCATCCATCCATGCCCGCCCTCTCCTATCCATGCCCGCCCATTTGTGTGCGCCCATCCAATCACCGTTCCGGAAAGCCAGCCTGTGGGTCCTGCGGAATGGGGATCGGGGTTTTCGCGGATTTTCGACTTCATATTTGGAATAGGGACATGAGAAGGCCCCGAAACGATAAAAACCTGGAAGTCGAGAATCTGGGTGGACGGTGCCTTTAAAGGCAGTGTCCGGGCAAAAAGTCGATTTTGAGATTTTGTGCTTACCCGGTCCTATTCACTATGCTGAATCCGAAAATCCACATTAGAGAGCGCGAAAACAGCGGAAAAGAACTCTGACGCAGGAGGGAAATCAGAAGTGGGCGGGATTTTCCCCACTGCGGATTCACGCTCCAAGCTCCCGGAGCGATCTTCTCGGTCCCGATTTCAAGTCATGCATTTGCACCTGGCCTGTGGAGATCTCAGGGCGCTAGCGAAATTGATAAAGTCGCTTCAGAAGCCGGAACCACGATTCACAGTGGGGAAGATCCCGCCCACTTCTGATTTCCCTCTTGCGTTAGAGCTCTTTTTTGCCGTTTCCGCGCTTTCCAATGTTGATTTTTGAAGTCAGTCTGGCAAATAGGCCCGGGTAAGCACAAAATCTCAAAATGGACTTTTTGCCCGGACACTGCCTTCAAGAGTTGGGTCAGACTGCGCGACATAAACAACGTAAGCCTCATTCTTTTCTTGTGCGTACCCTCGCAGTTTGACTTAACCCTTATTCGCGACGGCTGTGAGGGTCCTTCTATCACTCTCACTCTCAAACCGGTAAGCCGTAACATTGCTGCTATTTCGCCTCCCGACACAGAGAGGGGGGGGGGGCTGCAAATATTAGGGGTACAGAGTTGTGATTTGTGTAAAACTTATGAAAGTTTACGAAAATTAAAGTTGTCACTCTCAGGTGGCACTTCCAGTTTATGTAAAGCACTACCCATTGAAGAGTGGCCATCGGAAGTGTAATCTAGAAAAATAGTGAAGCACGCTTTTAGATCTTTCAAAAAGTTTGTTCTCAACTTCTCGGCGCGTACGCGTGCCATATAGTCCTTATCACTTTGATTGTGGAGCTAGCTTTCAAAAATTCCGAGCTTCAATATCCTGCTCATAGTTGGTTTTGTAAAAATACATTCCATTCAAAAGCTAGCGCAACAGCTTTGCATGCTTGCCTGGTTCAATGACTTTGCCTCTCTCAACTCTTCCATCAAACACACTAGGATTTCGCATGATAACAGTCTCAAAGCATAATTGTCTTCCTCTTTTCCATTGCAGAGCAGACAACGAGCCAAAGCTCCTTCACCTGAGCACTTCCGTATTACATTCAACATCACTTTAATGGGTGATAATTTTTTTGTTACATTAGATTTTTTCTCAGAAGTTGTTGTAAAGACTCATGTCGAAAGCATGATGACGTGGTACAAAAGTCTACCTAATGGCAACGTCACATTTGCAATCCGCGCGCTGAACATCAGCTTATGACCGGAAGTTTGTTTCGTTAATTAGTTATGATAGTGCAGCTACCTAGAGCAATGTCTAATTTCTGATTCAACTAGCTTGGCAGCTGGAAGGCGGGGTCTTGTGGCCTAATGAAGGCTGCTCGCGTACGCGATGCAGTATGCGTCTCTACCGGCGCTTGCTCTCTAATCATTGCTTACACTTAATTAGGTCATGAAGCCCCGCCTTCCAGCAGCCAAGCCAGTTGAATCAACACGTACACTTTCTCATTTGAGGTGAGGCGCACAATGGCATTTCAAACAAGACAACTTTTATGAAAAAAATTTAGAAATTGTTTTGATTTTTTCAATATCATATTAGGTCATTCCGAAAGTAATTTCGCTTTTTTCAAACGGACGCCACATGTGATGGAACAAATATTTCTAAGAGATCTTGGTAGCATTCGATGCAGAACTTCATTCTCTTTCCAGTAGTGGTGGAATCTTTGCAGCTCAATTATAGAGCTTTCGGAAAATAACCAAAACCTGCGACCCATGCTTTTTGAGATGCTCAAGTTTCACAATTTTTCTAAATGTGTACATCAATCCTCCAAAGGGGTCCAAGTAACGATTCGATAGAGCAAACCCTACAAGGTACAAAACGATTTTTTCCTCCTTCACAGAACTCCTCAAAATTTGTTAATAGAATTTTGATTGGTGCTACCGATTTCCATTCTTGGTCAACTCAAACATCGTAGGACATCAAACGCTTAACAGCTCGAGTGTCATTCGATGCAGCTTGATCTCCCCTTTCTATTAGATGTTTTTTGTTTCCCTTTCATGAAGTTTTTGCGTACAAAATCATCATAATTCCTACTTTCGAATGCGTTCTGGGCTGTACCCGGAAAATTCGAAATTTGAAATTTCGATTCCGTAAACCCCCATTCGCTTTGCAAAACTGGTGTTAAATCGTAACTCCATCTTGGAAGTTTCAAACTCCGAAGACTTATTGATGTTTGATGCGAATTTGGCTGACGTAGGTCTGTCAAAATTCGATGGTTTCAGAATAAATCTTTTAAGAAATTATGGCGAGATATAAAAACGAGAAAAAAGTCAGGCCATATCCTATGGGGTTTGCTCTATCGAATCGTCACTTGAGCTTCTTCGGAGGGTTAATGTAAGAATTTAGAAAAATTGGGAAACTTGAGCATCTCAAAAAGCATGGATCGCAGACTTTCGTAATTTTTCAAAAGCTCATTGACTGTGCTGCAATAATTTTATAATCCTCAGAAAAAGGAAGAAATTCTGCATCGAATGCTACCAAGTTCTCTTAGAAATCTTTGTTCCATCTTATGTGGCGTCCGTTTAAAAAAAGCAAAATTACTTTCGGAATGACCTAATATTTTACACAACGCACAAAGAAATTGTAAAACAGAAAGTTTTGGAGAAATTTTTGATTTTTTGATATTTTCTTACTCCTTGATTTTGAGATGGCATAAGCACCAAAGTGCCGCCATAAAAGAGATAGTGTCAAATACAATCTAAAAAATTATAAGAGAAGGAAAATATAATGAAGAGCAAAGAAACAAATCAAAGAACAAGAATGTGAATACTCGAACGTACTTAGAAGTTGTCGTAGGATTGCTGCTTATCTATGCATTCACGGCATTAATCGTGTTGGTGAGTAGACCTGTCCCTGTTCTATGTATGAACCAAGTTCTAAAGTATTCGCCTCCGGAATTTCTCAGAATTAAGAAGAATGTGACAGAAATTATCCGCCAATCATTATCATAAAGATTTTCAGAACAAACAAGGAGAAAATGATCTTTGATAAATTGCTTAGATTAAGTTGCATATTGTTGCTGTTGCTCTTCTTTCATACATATCCATATTCAGGTACTTTTTGCTTAATTGTATCATTAATCATCCCAAAAGTTCTGTCGCACCGTTCCTGAATTTAATAAATTCTTGCTATTTCGAACGAGGTGTAATGCGTATAGCAGACTCTAGTGGCTTTTCAATATCCACATAATGCAGTGGAAACTATTACTTGAATTTTCAATTCCAGTGCTTTTTTTGCAAAAATCTGAAGCTGAGACAGAATCTAGAACAATTGCATGATGAATTGTGCTTAGAGTTATAATTTTGGAAAAACAAAACAACAACTTTCTGTTTTTTCTCGAGAATCACAGTTATTTGTGAACAATTAGCACAATGACTGTTTTTGAATCAAACATTAATAAGATGAAACATATTATCCTCCTTATGTTGCAAATACGACGTGTATGTTCGATAGATGCTAAAGCCCTTCAAGGCTATAATGCGCATAAACTTTCCTCTGAGCAAAACCGATCTCATAATTCGTTGGAAAAGCAAGAAAATGAATTTGCAAACGGTGCAAACTTTCAGCGAAATATGGTGCAAGAAACTTTACAGATACGTTTTCAAAGCTCTGCTTAAAGCCATCTTATTCTGGTAATGGTACTCTCGAGGTAACGATGTTATTTTTTGAAAATTTTATAAATTATTGAGTAGTTTCCTAAAAGGCAATTTTCTATGACGCATATCTGTTTAGGGCAATGCAAAGTGTACAGTTGCTTACCCCAGAGAAACTAAAGATGCTATAGAAGCCGAAGATTTCTGCCAGTCGGCATCGCCCTATACCTTGACTTCCTCCAAATATGGAAAGAATACGACTTGTGTTCATGGTGAGCGATTATCACTAAAGAAAAACTCTCAATACCTGCGAGCATCTGTCTTTTAGAACAAAAGCTATAAGCTGATATAAGCGATAAGCTCTTCATCTGCTAAATCATCTCTGAATGGATTAGTAGAGCACAAAAAATACAATATAAGTTAGCCAAGAGGCCACACGTACTCAGATAACCTATCGTTTTCTAAGAAGCAGGCATTTCAACCAGTATTGTTATCTTTTGTAGATGTGTCCAACATATAGTAAGGACAGATTTTGTAACATTATTCTAGAAAGGTTGCTACGACTATAAATCTGTAAATGGCAACAAAGCATGTTTTGTTCTAAAGAAAACAGAAAAACGCTCATTTTCGGATCAAAGGCCTTGATCCGAATGAAAGTGTACGTTTTGAGCTCGCGAAGAGAAGGGAACGACTGGACTGCCTATAACTTTTAAATAAAGTGCAGTGCTACACTTGAGCAGAGGCGCATCTTCGTGGCGCTTGCGCGTGCCTCCTCATGTGTGCATCTACCTTCGACAAGAGCAACCTTGTTTCTTTTTTTTGCCTTCTTCCGGCTTCACTGCTTGCTTTACCGCGCTTATTTGAGGCATAAGCAGTCTACTACATCAAATGCATATGTCAATAGTCAAAGCTTGCCCTAAATCAACGCGCGACCACCATTCTCATGTTGAAGAGAGAGCATGTTGTTAGACGCATTAAAGTGCTTTAGAGGGACACTGTGCTCAAACAATTTTCTTTGTTATTATATTTATTTCCACATCCTCTACAACTCAGTCTGTTTCATTGCAAGCAAGCTATCTTTAGAGAATCACTTCTTGAAATTATCTTGGAATCTGTACCCAGCACAGGTGCGATAAGATGAGAATGACTCCTCCAGGGTGAAAGGGATCACAGTGGTCGCAGCCCCTCCAGGGTGAAGGGTGTTTTACTTGGTAGAGAAATTATAAAATGTCAACGGGGGGGAGCCATCATTTATTCTGGTCAAAGTTCATACAGTTGCAGCGGTAGAATTTGTCCAAAATTGCGGGATTGTCGGAATTCGCGGGATTGTCGGGATCCGCGGGATTCGCGGGATTCGCGACTTCGCGGGATTTGCGGGACTCGCGGGATTTGCGGGATAAGCGGGATTTAGCTATAACTTCTTTTAAAACAGCTTTATTTGTAATCTGCGTAAAGATTTGGCTTCAGCTTGATGAGACGAATTTTCTGGTATACAATATGTCCGTAATTCATAGTGACCGGTAGACATATGGTAATACCTTGTTATTTTCTATGTTAAGGCTTTTGTGAACATCTATCACCGCGTAAATCGCGAATAGGAGGTCTGGTACGAAGTTCCCATTACCTAAAACTATCGCGAAAAAATGGGCAGTTTTTATTTACCCTTATCACTGATATAAGCATTTTATCATTTATCACTGATAATATCATATTTTTGGATCATTTTTGTCACATGGTAAGAAAAGTAGTGTAGGAAACGCTGTGTGAATTTCTATCGCTCTTTCTCTCATTATAAGTGATCTACAGGATTTCCTAGTTCTATTGTTCGGTCAATTGGTAGATCCCTCGCTGCAGCAATCGATCGAATTCTCATTGGCACATGCCATTGCTGCCAACTCTTACCTGAAATGGCATTTTCGCTTCAACTCGCTTCACGCCGAAGCCTGGGCTGAAATTCTGCACCTATATGGAAGATGAACGTGGGAATCGACCGCGTGAATTTAAGCCATTCTTATCTGTCGTTATCATTGATATCACCATTTTATCATTTATCACTGATGATACCACAAAATTGGATCATTTTTGACATACAGTAAGGAATGTACTTTAGGAAACGCTGTGCGAGTTTTTACCGCTCTATCTCTTATAGAATGTGATCTACAGGCTTTTTCGGTTCAATTGCGCATTCGGTGCAGTAGATAGATGCTCTTTCAAAAAAAATTCACCGCTCTGTAAATTGTGAATGAACGGAGTCGCCTGTCAACAGGAGTTTTAAAGATGAGCTGAACACTTCTGTTTTCTGCGTATGACATACAAATCCAGATCCACAAAGGTGATCGATCTAAGGTGCGAAACGGCGCAAACGTGTGCTCGAGCATCTTTCCATCAGAGTCCACAAGCCCGCGAACGATGCGCGTACATAGGCTGTTGCCTCCCTATCGAAGTCTTTTTGAATTCTTTCATGCTCTACTCTATTTCTTGCTATCTACAACAGCTCACAAATTGCAGATTTTCTTTGTATGTCGTGAAATTCCGGGTGTTTTGCGAAAGTCCGCAACGTTCTGGGAGTTTTGCGACATTCCGGGATTTCCGCGGAATCACGCGAATCACACAAACTACACAACGCCATAACTCCTTCAGAATGAATAGATTCTGAATCCGATTCCGTTTCCAGTTTTCTCAAATTCTTCTGCGGAGGTCTGTTTGCGAGGATGTAACGCAGCGCCTATCTAACATAAAGGATACTGATAAGTAATATTCGATAGTACGGTTCTTGTAAATTATAGCGCACTAAAGTATAGCTGCGGATTTCTTTCCATAAGAAACATAAGCGTTGGTGAATCCTGGAAAAAATCACCAAGTTCTATTTGTCATAACTTCCTTCGGAATGAATGTATTCTGAATTCGAAAAAAGCATCGTGCTCAGCTCGTCAAGGCGAACCTTTCGATATGCAGCGTGCCCTTGATATTCCTATTTCAGCATTCGTGAATCTTTCTGCGACGTCACTTTGCAAAGATGTAAAGTAGCGCGCATTGCCCCTAGTAGACTATTGTAAGGGCGATTCGGTAGTACCTCCCTTGCAGATTAATGATCGCGAGATTAATGATTAAAAATCGCGTATTTCGTCGAAATTCCACCCTGAGTGGTTGTATGACATTCTGGTTGCAAATATTATGTTCACTTCGCCTAAGGGATCCCATTGAATTGAATGTGGTGGTTGCGCGTTCTTCACCTGCTCAATTGAATATCCAAGCAGCTTCGTAGCCTGAGCTCAGATCTACCTAACTTCCAAATCCAGCACAGTATGACCATTAACCAATGTGAACAGATTTGATCAGTATGTCATACAACCACTCAGGGTGGAATTTCGACGAAATACGCGATTTTTACACTTTGAGCAAAATTCATGAGGACGTGTTTTCGTAGGCTCTAACTCGGAGAACTTTATAGACTGGAGCCTGGGCATGAATCTTTTGATAGCACAGTTCCTAGTGATTTTGACTTAGAAAAGCAAGCAGGCAAGTTTTCTGACAAATTCGCGAAAAGTGCAGGCAAATTTACGAACTTTTATGACTCAGTTACAGTCACCTCACAATATCTCTACAAAAAGACCCTGTCTTCTTCAGAGACCACTATTTTCGTAAACAGCGTGTTCGAAAACCTCTATGAGCAAAGTTTCCTTACAATTCAAGAGCATCAACATTTTGACCAATATCCATCAGCGAGCTTCCAGAGCGTAAAACGAGAAAAAAATGAAATAACCCGAACATCCCGGGAAACTTGCTCATAGAGGTTATCTGGCCTGCTGATTTCGAAATTCACATCTGCTTAGCAAGATAGCTTCGTATTCTAGGGCTGTGGCAAGTAGAAGAGTACTCTGCGTTGATACCACTGCTT